TAAAACATTATATAATCATAATATTTAAGCGAAACCGTAGAAACCTACATTAACCTATTGAATTACTACATTGTGGTGAGAAGAAATGTCCTCTACCACCATACACACAGTATTTTCGTTTTCTTTTTATCAGTTCATTATAAAGTATTCCTAATAACAAAAGTTTTTTTTTGTTTTTTTTTTTTGGTAGTAGTAAGCGTCGTAGTCAAACCATTTTGATTTTTACTTCCATACAGCGCGATAATTCACGCTTTTCTGTTACGAGTTCTACGTCACAGAGAAGCAGGACGAGTTACACCTGCGACGTCATTATCTCAACGCTACTCTCTCCCGTTCTCTAGCATCGGTGTAGTCCTACTGAACATAATTAACGAGAGCGAGGAACGTCATCACATTTTGCCACATATTGCTTGGCAAATTCTCGTATATCGTTCCATCGCGTCTGCACCCTAAGCCACAAAGGCACATCTACCAGCGTGTCTAGCTTTGACCCGTCAGTAAAAATGTTAAGGTTTTCTCGGGGCAGTGGGCTGTCGGTTCATTAGGCGTCTGAGAAGAGTGGGACAGCATGTGGATGGAACAGTTAAGTTCACAGTTGGTAAAGGTGTCGTTGCCAACAGTAATGCTTCTTCCCCTCTGCAAACAACGCCGTTGAACTGCAATCTGAATGGTTAAGGAAATGGGCATTTTGTCAGAAATGACTTGTGGGGCAGCCGTGGAAGTGGTAGAGAAGGCACGGCATATGAGCAGAAGATCTTAGCGCTGTGCACTACGGAGCTTTTGTTCAATGTGCACTCTGCCCAAACAGCTACCCCAGCTAGGGCGGCATAGCAAATCATAGGAATAAATACACTATCATACATAATAGATACGATTTCAGGGAAACTTCCGACCTAATATTAAGGTGAAAACCTTAGAAACAGAGTTAAACAGAAAGTTAGTCTTTTTAGTGATATAATCAATGTGTTCTGCTCAGCTCAGCTGATTACTCCAAGATATCATACTTTTCATGATCTTAATAGACTCTTTTCCTATCCTAATAGTAGGGGGCCTCTTATAGAAGTGTGAGCCCTTGGTAAGATAAAAATAATGCCCTTAGTTTTATTAGTGTTAAAGCCGAGTTAATGCTCTTTTCCCCCAGGCCAAGACATGATTAAGAACCTTATTAGCCTCATACTCCAAATCAGCACGAGAGTTTGCCGCAATAAGAATCATGGCATCATCAGCGTATGCAAAGATCTGGGATGCCATACGTCCCGCAAGGTCGGGACAGTCATGTACAAGAGAGATTGTCCCATGTCCCAATAAACATTTAAATGTCCCATAGGTAAAAGATTAACAGATTTTGACTGTAAAATAATAAAAGATTGCCATAAAAAGTGATGCATGCTATTATGAAATGTATTTTTTTCCTAATATGTATGAATTTCGGACATTGGCGGGTGAGTTGCACGCTAATGCTACGGGACGCATTAGACGTCAATGCTAGTTTAATTAAATTAAACTAGCATTGACGTCTGAATAATGAAAGATAAACACACTCGAGATACACCTAGCTTAAACCACCAGACGTCTGGTGCGTCTGGTGGTTTAAGCTAGGTGTATCTCGAGTGTGTTTATCTTTCATTATAAAAAGAATAAAAATTATTTTGACATATGTTTANTACACCTAGCTTAAACCACCAGACGTCTGGTGCGTCTGGTGGTTTAAGCTAGGTGTATCTCGAGTGTGTTTATCTTTCATTATAAAAAGAATAAAAATTATTTTGACATATGTTTAATTAGTTCAGCTGCTGCAGGAATTGTTACCTATATAACATAAATTGTATTTAATTTTTGTTTGAATTTGTGTTATTAAATTAAAAATTTAAATTTAAAATATCAATTTATTTTAGCCTTCAAAATGACAGATGATGAAAGTAGTTTGAAAATTACGGAAAAGACAAGAAGACGGTTGATTCACTATAACGCAGATTGGGAAATAAAGTATAGTTGGATTAGTCGCGGTAGAGACGATCATAGTGCAAAATGCTTTACATGCAACAATTTCATTTTCACAATTAGTCACGGTTGTGAAAACGAAGTAAGTAGACATTTGCAATCTAAAACCACATTCCAAAGCAATAGCGAATACATAAATAATTTCTAAGTTTTTTATACCAAAGCAAAGCTAGGCTCACGAATATGTCGCATTTGCAAAAGTATCGTTTTGTTAACATTTTGTTATGCAATCTCAGAGTTATGTCTCAGCTGGTTGTACTAGCTCAATTTAAAATAATAATAATAATAATAAATGTTTCCCGACTCTGGAAATGCAGCAAAATGTTCTTGTGGAAAAACAAAAGTTTCTGTCATTGTTACAAAAATTCTTGGAAAGCACTCAAAAAATTACATATTGAAACAACTGGAGAATATAAGCCCTTTTCTATAAGCACGGACGCTTCTAATAAACGAAGCGTAAAAGCTTTTCCTTTAATTGTGAGATATTTTGACCAAAACCGTGTTGTAAAAACTGGTTTGATATCGTTCATTTCGGTAGAAGCAGAAGATACTGTAATTATTTCAAATGCTCTCATTCAACAGCTTACATTTAATGAATTATTTTCCAAAAACATTCCTGCATATGGAGCAGATAACGCCAATATTAATATTGGCAAGAAAAATAGCGTTTCCGAATTGTTTTTCATTATCTTAGAATAAGTTTACAATATAATTTAAGTCTTGATAACATTTTTGCTACTATCAATAAAGAATTACCATCTTTAAAGTTTGTATTATAAAATCTGTTCTTAAGACAAGTCGGACATAGTCGAACAAAGGGAAGGATTAATTAAATCCGATCCTATTCCAGATATGACACACGATCCCCTTTATCTCTCCACCCTGTCGACATTTAACCACGAGAATTTAACAGCATCAATATCCCTAATACACAAACCCCTCTGCAAAATTTTAGAAAATTTCGACAAAAATCACAGGAGTTATTAAGTTTCAAAGATGGTGAACAAAATTGTGCCACTCACACACTCAAACTAATATCCATATATACAGATAGAAATTACGCCCGTATTTTGTTGCATTTCTCGACGATTCAATGTCCCCTGAGTCTAAAGGAGGGGTCATTTTTTGACCGATCACCATACTTTCCCTCTATTATATATTACAGCCGGAAAAGTATTAAGAACAGATTTCATAATACAAACTTCAAAGATGGTAATTCTCTTTCGATAGTAAGAAAAATGTTACCAAGACCCTAAATTATAAAATAATGAAAAACAATTGAAAGTGAAAAGGGTAACATGAAAAAATAAGATTTTTACCTGAAATAAGTGCAGTATCTAAAAGATATATCAATACCCTACTATAAATATTGATTGAAGACAAACAAAACAAAAAAATTCTGGGTTTTTTTCTGGTCTCAGGCCCTCGTTTTTGGTACCTGGTGTTTAATTAATGGTTTTCCTTTTGATATTCCTAAATGCGAAAGGATCTTTGCCAGAGTTGCTAGATTTCAAATTAGGTCTCGCACGACAAAAATAAAAATCCTTTCAGATGTTGCATTTGCATGTGGAATAGAGAAAATGTATTCGATAATTTTAAAAAATTGTGAAGAAACAAACCCATCTTTGATCATACGGTAACTGCCTTTCAATATCCGTTATATTTGCCATAAATGTTTTAAAGAAGATATATTCTTTTGAACAGCAAATCTTGATCTACTTCTATTTTGATCGCGTGAGTGATTTCTGCGATTTCATGAAATGCTGGTATGCTATGCAAAGATAAGTTAGAGAGAATTTTATATTTGTGGTCATTGAAATTAAATCATTTTTCTATATATTTTATAGCCGTATCAAATAAATTACTTGCTTCCATTTTAAACCGTTTTGAAGCATCTAGGTTATCACAATTTTGGATAATTTTGTGAAGATTTGCTCCATAATAATATTCTTATACTCAATCCAGGACTGCCTTACATTGTTCATAATTGAATATACTTCAACAATCGTAACATTACTACCTTAGAGTTTTTTAGCACTGGTTGAATTATTGAACATACATTCTTTACAAATTTTACATACGCCTCATGAAGCTCATGTTCAAAAAAATGTCTCAATATAGGTGTTATGTTATTCTTGCTCATAAAATACGATTTAATAGGTGCAAAATTGGTCAATAGTCGCTCAATAGCCGGTAAAAGAGAGAGCTACCTTATTGGTATATGCCGTAACATTTTATTCCATTCTGTTTGTTTATTCGAAAAAAACTATTAGTTCTAACTACGTGTACCAGTAAATTTCTGCTATTGTTCTTTGTATTTCATGTTTTTAACCTATATTTTGTAATGTATGATTGGTTGTAAGCATATAATTGATGTTAATTGTATCATATATGTATGATAAGTTTATGTAAAACAAATTAAGCTCATGTAAGGAAATTTCTAACAATTTATGCATTATAGGTTGGTAATTGTACTATTTTATATGTAATCTCAATTATGCCTAGCGGTATTGAGATAGACAAATAAAGAATTAATTTGGAAAAAAATTCACATTGTATATAACAGCCAGGAAAGTAATTGACAGCCGGATGGCTGAACAGTCAAGATGGCAGCCTGCCGCTGTGAGGAACCTGGCATTGAATTTGGACGGTCGAAAAATCCCCAGAAATTTTTCGAGGGGTGGTCCGACCGAATATGTCGGCCGCGCCATTGTAGGCTTGGCAGAACCTATAATGGACTTGCTAGAAAAGGCACTCTTAGTGCCCACAGAGCGGAAACACTAAAAAAATAATAAGCCAGGAAAGTAAAAGGAAAATACTGTATATAGAATGCCAAGAACTTATATTTCTGTTTTATTTATCTGATAATTATTAATATTTTTTATATTTAATAAAAAGTTTAACTTTTAAAATTTAAAGTTTACCGTATTGTTAGAAAGAGATATTCGAAAAAAAAATATTTTGTCGATTGATTTACGTTTGTGGAATTGGCAACGTTCTAAGACGTAAGACAAAGATGGCGGCAAGTTTAAAAGACAATATCAAAACAATTGTGTAGTAATTGTCATTAGACGTTGCTTTGCTTTATACTTGAAGTGTTGTCGCTACGTTGACGAACATTACTGGTTGGAACAAGATAAAATAATAAAGGTAAGTGTTATTACGTTTATTTTAGTTATTTAACTTGTAAAATAGGCATATATAGTTGGATTACAGTTAAATATTATTAAACGGGTAACGTAAAGTCGAGGGCGAGTTTTGCTATAAGCAGTTGGTAGCCATCTTTAGAACGAATCAAAGGTTGGACGGACGAAGATATTAATCCGTTTTCATCCGCGAGTTGATTTGTTCTAAACTGACATTTGTTTCACTATTCACTTGTTGTATTAAAGTATCCATATTTGAAATGATTAGTTACAATTTAATAAAATGATAAAATTAATGTTCTAAATGAATTTTCGTTTGGCGTTTAATTTCTATTCTTATGCTTTTTTAAATAATCTAAGACTTGTATGGAATAAAATTTGAAATATTCACGCTGACAATAATTTCTGTCCATTCTGCCCTTGTTTTCTTCAGATATTTAATGCTACTCCAAATAAACTTTTCGAAAGCTTGCCACAACGCAAATTTCACTTCGTGGCCGTTTTGAATTAGCCACAACGCGTTGTGGTAGCTTTTTTCGCTCAAAGACCCTAACAAACATTTATATTAAAGAACTTATGAACACCTGGTTTGCATTATGGAGGAGGCTAACACGGCTCAACTGTAACATAGTGATTCAGCTTTGCTAATGGAAAATGTGGTAGTAAGAGTAATACGTATACTATTAAACCCCTAGACGAGAAACAGTGAGGAAATAATGCGTATAAAACGCAATTATAGGTGGAGACCTTTTGCTTGACTTCTGATGGTAGTAGTACAGAGCAGCCGATATCTGGGGATAAAAGCTAAAGACGTTAATGTTGCTACAAAGTAACACGTGAAAAACTAAATTTGTTAGTAAATTTTTACTTTTGCTTTAAATAATATATAATAATTATATTTTCGTGTCAAGTACAGTAAAACCTGTCTATGGCGACCGGTTCTTTCAAAAAGTGGACTTTTAGACAGGTGGTGCTGTAATAGCGTATTTCCTTACGTATTTTGCGCACTTTTTAGCCATTTCTACTAAGCAAAACTCGAGGTGAGCAAAAATAAGCGAATTTTTTCAACGATAGGGTTATATTGGTATTGTATTTTATTCTTTTCGGATAACTCGATTTACGGGAGTCGTGGTGATTTTATAAGACAGATTTAATACCAATATTTTAAATATTAATACAATAGTCGCATTTTCTCGATTATAATGCACACTTTCTTTCTTCCGACTTAATTAATTTAACTGTTCTTTTCGTTCTCTCCTCAGTTACGTGTATTACGTCATCGATATACAATAGAGCATCGATTATCCGACTTAATTGGGGACTGGGGTTGGTCGGATAACCGAAAAGTATGAAAAAATCCATTATTAGTGTAGTATATTATTATATCCCATGTAATTAGTATATCGCTATTAACATACTTCACGTTGAATTTTCATCGATGTTAAGCGTAACAAAAATTTTTTAAAATAATAATTGCTATTGTATCGTTAAAAATTACAAAATGAAGCCTCGTTTAAATACTGGCTCCCTTTCATGGTCGATCCAGTGTTGCCAGCTAAAACACGTAAAAATAATATTAAAGTAGATAAGACATAGCCAAATATTGTAGCGCCACATCACTAGCGGACATTTGAAATTTGCCGACCAGGACGGTCGTTTAACCGAGGTGACGGTTAATCAGGGGTCGGATAATCGATGCTCTACTGTACAAGCACGTGGTATCTCTACATCACTGGTTTTGGTATTCGTTAGTTTAATCTTATTTTAAGTTTAAAAATACTGTGTTTTTAATATTTTCTTAAGTACAATAAGAAAAATTATTAATAATAAAACGATTTTATTTTTTCTTGTTATACGATTCCATTACATTCCGCGATTGTCATTGAGGAATCGAAAAAGGAAGGTTGCCTGTAAGGCTGATTTTTGCATTAATGCGTTTGTTTTTTGAATATTTTGCGTGCGAAAATTACTTGGATGTTATTTTTCTAAAAATATCGTGGAAATAAGGTAGGTTTATACAGAAACTATTTATCGAACATGTACAGTACTTATATGAGCTTCAAAATAAATAAATAAATTTTTATCAAACGATGAGATCAGCCGATTAATTGTATCGTATACAACATTTTATACTCCCGAGGAAAATACTGTAGGTCACGGGTCGCCAAACTTTTTTAACCGTCGACCCCCAACACTTTCCAAAACCTCACATCGACCTCCACCGTAAAGTTTTATTACAAGTGTAAGTGTATGGGCAAAAAAATAAAAAAAAAACGTTGTGATCTTTGATATCTATATAAGCGGAAAAAAAGGTTGTAACCCATTGCCTCATCGACCCCCCAATGATGTTGCATCGACCCCTGGGGGTCGATATAGATAACTTTGGCGACCCCTGCTGTAGGTCTACGGTAAAATAAATTTCGTTTTTTCACAGTTAAACTTCGCCGCTAATTGCTGTTGTGATAACTTTAATACGATCTTCTAACGACAGCACTTTGCATTTCTTTCGTTTTTCGGACGATTTCGAACAAACTGAAAAGAATTTCCTTTGTTGCTAGACTAATTCATTAACACCTGCACCTAATTTCAAGGGTGGGAGAAGTGCCCGAGGTAGGTTCGAACGAGAGTTCAGACTAATTCATTATATTAGGAGGGGGAAACGTTGAACAATAGTTTAGACCAGATACATTTGCGGAAGTAGTCGCTTATTACAGGTGTATGTTGTTTCGGAGCAAAAATCGATGCCCGCGGTCGCGTTACGCAGGTGGTCGTTTAATAGAGGTAACTTATACGAAGACTATGGATAAACTATTCGGTGCCAGAAATTTTTACCCGTTTTGACTGGTGCCCGTCGAATGCAGGTGGTCGCCTAAGCAGTTTCACTGTATTTCTGTTACTGCACACGTGTGTGCAGGGAATTGAAGAGACGTCACGCTCGACATTTTCCCCACCGGTCAGGGAAAATTTTCCTGCGGCAGTTATCCCTACACGGTTGTTGTGTGTTCGCGGGCTAACGACACCATTTTAGCATTTTTAATGCCGCTTTCTCTCGTAGATGGAATGTATTATGGTGAATTAAAGTAATTCGTTTTGTTACTATCTGAGTGCCTGCGTGTTTCTTAATAAAGTTGTTCTTAAACGAAGCAGATAGCCGTAAATAAAAAATCGTTCGTAATTTTTAAACGGTTGATCGTAAGTAATATTTTTTAATACCAATCGATTCAGCGTGTCAAATTACATCTAGATATGTCTGCCTATTCGTTAATACAGTAGAACCTCCATTATCCGGACCTCCATTATCCGGATTTTCGATTATCCGGATTGTCCAAAATAAACAAAAATTTTACGAATTTGCTGATTTGCACTTGGCGAATTACGACACTGTTTATATACATGATGGAATGCATAACTTTTTTTGTTTCAACAACGTCTCACCCAGCACAGTGGTCGTAAACTCTTAAATATATTTTACGTCGTAATAAAAATATAACTTGACAAACGTATTTATAAATAATTTATATTCAAATTAAATCATTTCTATGACCAAGGGCGGCGTAAGGCATGGACGACGTGGGCCACCGCCTATGCCTCGCGGTCCGAAGGGCCTCGCGTTTCGAAGGTTTATGCATTACTTAAAAGCCGCGAACGCGACGAAAATATTTTACTCGTCATAAAATGATAGTTTGTCAAATTTTTATTCATAAAAATGCAGTTTCAACTGCTTTTTATTTTATAAAATCCTTATTCTTGAGCCGCCAGAGGGCCTTTTAAACAATAGGTAGTCTGTTAGCGTTGGTCAGTAGTAGTACAAATTCAATACGAACGTTTGTTTCTTGAAAATCTGATCACGATTTAAATACAGTATTTACTTTTAATATTACCGATATGTCATCGAAAAGAAAACGTATTGTATTATCATTAAAAGACAAATTAAAGTATTTTTTCGATTATCCGGATTTTTCCTTATCCGGACTACCTTCATCCCCAATTAGTCCGGATAATAGAGGTTCTACTGTATTAAGTTTAAGACTTTTTTAGCTGGATACCTTTTGCTTTACTTTAAAACGGCACAGCATGTGATAAAACCATTAGATTTTATCTGTACAGTACATTAAACATTTTCCATTAGCAAAGGGTTCGGATATTGGATTCTCAAGAATTACGATGTATGACGGAGATAAGAGTTGTCAGTAATTAATGTTCCTAGAATTGCTGACGATCGTTCAGTTCTTTAGGAGCATTTGAAAAATTTATCACTTGTCCTGCTTTCGTCGAGTGAAGGTTCTTTTGGCAGTGTTCGCTACACAGAAAATCGTTGTTTTTGTGTTTATTTTATAAACACATTTTACTATTTTATCAAGTGGTTGGTTTTGCACAAACCTGACGAAAAAAGTACTGGTCCAGGAATGAAATTTTTCTAACTTCGATATTCAGTAAACTTATGATCAAAAAAGATTCCGCGATATAAAAAAAAGTACAGGTAGCCCTCGGTTTACACCGATTCACAATTCACGCCGTTTCACGGTGTAATTCCCTGATTTTCTCTAGACTGATTTTCTTTTCAGTGTTGACGTATTTACTGAGCCGCGACATTGTACATTCGTTAAAAGAAAGATTTTTATTGAATATATTTATTTTTTTGTTTAATATTATTGGGTATGTATACATTTGCATTAAATTAATATTAAATTACTAAAAGTTTAGATACCCACGAGTCAAATTATTAAACTTAACAGTCCAATAAATGGCGTTCGAATCCAGAGCGCCAATGAATGCGAATAGTTCGTATCCCATATCAGTTCGTTCAGGAAAACACCTTATGACGCAGTAGCACTTCCTGCGATCACAAACTATCGTTAGTAAGGTGAAATCTACTTCTCGTTGGCCAGACCATATCTAAGGCCAAGACTCCACTAGCGTAAAAACCTCCAATCACGTGACCTATTTGCGTTTGCGTCTGGATTGCGTTGAAGGTCCGGCTAGCGAAGTTTTTACGACGACGGT